ATATATATAAAGGCATTTTAAATGCTTTCCACACACTTGCAACATTCTAAACAATGTTTCTAAACTAAACGCTCTAAAAGAGCACAGCATGCCATGATCTCAGCTCTCTGCCTTCAGCTACACTCTGCTCTCTGCCAGCGCTCTCGGCCACGCCCACTTCTTCCCTGCAGAGCAGAGATATAACAAGCTGCAGGAGGAAACTTCTCCTATGGGCTGCACACAGGTGCAGCAGGTGCTAAATAATTTGAAATAATCTATTTAAATAAAAATTGCATGCCAACCGTGCGGCTCATCCATCAATCAGCCAATTATGTGTCATGCCCAGTCTTATTTTGAAAAACCGCAATAGAGGAAGTCCACAAAAAAACAAATTGCAAAGTGTCGAGGGACTACTGTATATCACTAATTACGTGGTTTTGTGTTGCTGGTTTTACAGTATTGCCTAATTTAGAAACAAAACAATATTTTAGCTATAGTTACATATATGAAATATCTTCTTCACAAAGAAAAGAACGTCTTTCCCTACAGTCTTCATCACTCCATTTAAAATCAGTAGCGTTGATCACACCACAATGATTAGACAGGGACAGCTCAGGGATTCTGTTATTTCTCCAGTTGTTCCAGTTCACAATTCTGTCACTCCAAATCCAGAATCCAAAGACAGTACTCTGCCTCAGACCAATCCAGAGTGTTTCTGTGAAACTAGAACGATTCATGTGTTCCAACCATTGATTGACAGCGTCTTGATCATCCGGACCCTCAATCCAAAGCAAGCGTGTGTGATTGGCCTGGCAGTAGTTAAGAGCCTCTTCCCAAGTTGAATTCCTACTGACGGCTATGATCCTTACACTGCCTGAAAACAGGTAAATAAAATAAAAAAGATTTACAGAAAATAGTTTGAATTTAACCACACAGTCAGCAATCTGCCTTTAAGGTAATAATTTTATAATTTAATTGTTCATAGGAGACTTTATTTTGACAGAGTTCTTCTAAAAACATTATGTTTTTGTCAGTTTTAGTCACAGTGTACATTGGCTTCTGTCTGTGGAAGAATTTGTCTTCCAAAAATACCATGTTATTTATTTATTATTATTTAAAAGATCACACTAAGAAGCTGTTATTTTCCCCACATATCCAGATAAGTGGCATTTGTTTACCAGCTAATTTGGTTGTGTTGTTTAAGTCAGATAAGTTATTTTGTTTTTTTTATTGCTTACCTTTGGAGCAAAGCACTTTTTTGTTTTGTCCACAACTGAATGTCTCAAGAGCCAAACCATCCATTTGTATTCCACATCCATGTTTAGGTTCATCTTCCATCCATGTTCTATAAGTTGAACAGCTCTTGTCTGCCCATTTCCAATTATCATGAAGGAGCCCGATCCAAAAGGTTTTGTTCCTGTATTTATTTTTCAGTTCTTCATTGTGCGTTTCATTACTGATGCTTGCTAAATCAGCGTGATGTGTCCTACAGTACTGCAGTGCCTGGCACCAGTCTCTGTGCTTATTTTCAACCAGGAAGGAATCATTATCTGAAAACAAACAAAACAAAATCACAATAATAGTAATAATAATAGTAATGGCTTACTCAACTACACAAATGTGTTAAATGGTTTTGGGGAAAAAGAAAAAAAAAAAAACAGAATACAATTAAATAATTATAGAAATAGGTTCAACAGATGTACCTGAAGTTATTTTTACCATGTATGTCCAAGATTAATATTTATTTACCATAGAGTATGTGAGCAAATCTAATGGTGAAAAACCTCAAAGATCACTGAAAAAACCTTAAACTGACAACAGCAATATTATAAAATAAATAAAATCAGACTTTGCTTTTGAATTTTAGTTAACCATAATAATAATAATTTGACCTCAGAGACATATTAAATTATGTTGTGAGCTGTAATTAGCATCACATGTTTGGTCAGTCTGCAAATTTAAACGATGAAAACGAGTCACTGTGCTGCTTTTGATGTCATGTTGTATACCAGTATTTTTCAAAGTGGGGGCCGCCAGGGGGTGATAGGAGGCCCCCAGAAAGCTGGAGAGAAGAAATTTAAAAAAAAGCAAAAATAAAAACTCCAAGGTCAGAGTACATCAGTGTTAAACTGCCCCATCTGTCACTGTTTGAGACAAAGTCAACATAATACAAATCATAAAAAAGCCACAATGGAATTTGCCTATGTGTACATGACAAGCCACAAAGCTTTTGAGAGAATGTCCTTAAGATGCATGAGACAAAACTTGTGTTTTTTTTTTTAGCAACAAGTCATGTTACTTCTGTGTTCACAGACCCACAAATAAAATCTATAAAGAAAATAACACTGTACCTACAGCAAAACATGAAAGAAAAACATGTTTAGGTTGCCTTCAGGCCCAGGCGTCCGTTGAAAGAGAGACCTGTAATCTCAGTGGGACTTGCCTGGTTAAATGCAGGATAATAAAAAATAAACCAGGCTTGATTCTGTTGCACCTGGCAACGTGCGTCTCGAGTCTGTGCCGGGTACAGTGAAACATCACCGAGGCTTTCTGGAGTGAAATGTGCTGCCATGTGTCAGAAAGACTGATGTCACTTGCAGACATCGGGTCCTCCAACAGGATAATGACACAAAACACAGAAGACATGACATCACTTTTCTTGTGACTTTCTGAGTCCTGATCTAAATTCTGTTGAACATCTGCAGAAGGAGCTAAAATAGTCTGGAGAAAGAACCCAAACCTGACCCAGCTGGAGCCGTTTACTCATGAGGAGTGAGCCAAAACACCTGTGGACAGGTGCAGACGTCTCAGAGGGAGGTACAGAAATCACTTGAGTGCAACAAAATATTAATTGGGGGGGGGGGGGGGCTGTGTATGTAAAACAAGAGAAACCGTCTTTAAACAAAGGAGGAGGTCTCAGATCTCAACTCTCTAAAACTTGTAATTTTTATAAACTTTAGGCCTGATAGTCATTTTAACACCTATCAGGAGTTTCATTCATGTCACCAGAGTGGCTCCACTGTAAATCAAACTAACAGTAACAAACCTCCATTGTGAGGAGTGACAGGTCAATCTGCATGTGTATTTAACTTGCCTCAGCTTTATAACTCGAACCCCACGCTCTCTGTTCTTTGAATTGAGGAAGCTCCTCGGATGATAAGCGTAATGTCTTCTGTTACAAATAAAGTCCAATTATTTTTTGTCTTGAGCTTTTTTGAATTTACCATGTCCTGGATGACCCAGAATCTTCCCCAGCATAACAAAATATTAAGTTAAAGGTGTTGACCTTTTTGTCAAGACCAGTTGGCAATGGCCAGACCTGTTTTGAACCTTAATTGTTGGTATTTTTATACCTTTGTTATTTTTAGATTCTCTGTTTTTTTTAAATTTTATATATCTTGTGTGATTCCTTGTATTGAAACTCTGGCACAACAATTTCCTGCGGGATCAATAAAGTTCCATCTTATCTTATCTTGTTAGATTTGAAACTTTGCTTACAGACAATTTTAAAGCAATGACTAATTTTAATGAGCTGATTTATTTATTTTGTTGTTGTTGTTACCTTCAAGTAATTTCAGTGACCTTGTTCATTTTTTCTTCCTTTAACAAAAAGGTAATAACAAATTTGACTCAATATGTTTAAATATACACTTAATATAGATATTATATGTATGTCAAATGTAATAATAAAGTATTGTAATCCCTTTTTTGTCATCCTGCTGAGTTTATAAAAGGAAAAGCAAAATATAGTGTTGCTTGTCAGAACATACTTGTCTGGCACAGAAAAAGTTTTCTGTCAGAACAGTTGAAACCCGTCCATACTCCATCTTTAACAGCTTCACATTGTTGCTCATCTGGTTTGATGTTGACTTTTGAGGGATTGAATTTTAATTGGTCACCATTTGACCATGTCCTAACATTATTCAGGTCCTTCTTAATACCCAGCCAGTAGCTCTTGCTATCACATTCCTTCAGGAGACGTGTCAAAAATTCAGCATCATGTCCATCATACAGAGTGACTAAGGACTGTGTTTTATTCTCACATTCCTTTTGTGCATTGAACCAGTCGATTTTCTTTGACTTGCCATCGTTTTTACAGAGCTCAGAATTATTCAAATCGCTGAAATACCGCAGACGATTTGCTACACTTGTCAATGGAAAACATCCTGTAAAAACAAAAAAACATACATTATTCTAACAAGTTTGTGTGTGACGAGTCTTACACATGACTTGCTTCTAGTCTGTTTTGTTTATGAGCAGGTAAATAAAACAAAATAAACATGTTGTATCAGAAATATTCATAGGCACAAAAAAACAGCAAACAGTAACTCTGAAGCATTTTAAATATAGTCTTGTTAAAAAAAAAGATTATTTAATACTAAAAACAAGGACAAGCATGTTTACCTGAACACAGCAAAAAAACCAAAATGCTCATCATGGTTAAAGTGGAATTTCTATGTTTACAGAAACTGAAAGAAAAGAAAGATAAGATAAATTAAACATGCATAATAAAATCCATGGAGAAGAAAGTGGTTAAGAAGTTGCTGTTATAAAATTAAACAATTTGTGATAAGAGTTAAAGAAAAGAAAAAAATCTTATTCAACTAATGTACATAGGATTTGGGACAAAAAACAGCATAATGTATAAATAATATTTGTTTCTTGTTAATAAATGTCTTACCTGCTGACGTGAGGCCCACACTGACTGGAAGTCTTATATTCACGGAAAGAGCGATGGAAGCTGAAAGAGTTGATTTAAATCCATATTTGCATAGTAAAAACAAAGTTTCCACACTATTAATGATTAACAAGTTTATGGTTTAGCCAGGTCCTAGTCAAATTTTACTTGAAATGTTATCTGAGAATGAACCGAAGCATCTCTTTTCAGATGAATAATTATTTTATTTTCTATAATAAATTTGTTAAGCCTTAAAAAGCCCAAACCACCATGAAACATATTTGATAAAACTTTTCAATGAGCTGCAGTTTGTCAGGTTGTTTTCTAATCCCATCATATA